AGGGCTAGCCAATTTGAACATGTATGTCTTCTTCTCATGGTTATTCCAAGAGTTCATGATGTTGTGTGAACCATTTGAGGTGTCACACTTGGGGCACTAGGCTCTCAAGCTTCATGGAGTCAAGCAACAACAACAAGGTATGTATTCTATCTATTTTATTATCCTAGTATCAATGTTTTGGTATGCTAGTTAGGATAATACCTTGGATAATCATATTTGCATGTATAATAGAGAAAACATAGATCCAAAGGTATTTAGGGTTGCATGTACACTTAGGAGTGTTAGAATGCTCAAAACCCATCAATTTCTTGGGTCCTTGATACAGGATGTGGTTTTCACATTTGTTCTGATTTGCAGGGTCTAAAAAGAATTAGGAATATGGATCATGGGAATATGAACCTGATCATGGGGAATAGGAAAGCATCGCCTGTCACCAAGATTAGAGTTTACTCTTTAGTGCTTAGTAGTGGGTTAGGTTTATATTTAAATGATTGTTGCTACACTAGGAGAAGTTGGATCTGAAGTTTGGGACCTTGGATCCCACTGGAAAGGACTGAACACAAAAAGGACTGAAGGAACTCGTCGAGTCCCTTAGCCAAATCGACGAGTCGGGTAGCGTTTACCTGTTTTCGAGATTATGAGTGAGTTCAGTGAAGGATTAGAGTTTTGGTTTGCATGAACTTTTGGTCTTATGGAAATTTGATGAACTCGACGAGTCACTTAGGTGACTCGGCGAGTTGACCCGGGATTTAGTGGAATGGACTCGGAAGGAACTCGGCGAGTTGCTGGATGCACTCGACGAGTTGAGGTCAACATTGATTGTTGACCTTGACAGTTGACTTTGACTTTGATCAGGGTTGACTTTGAGGGAGTTGATTGTATTTCAGGATTGTGACAAGTTAATCACATGATGATTATAGGCAGTTGAGTTGGAGCAGTGCGTGGGACTTATCTGATTTTATCTTGTCAGTTAAGCATTCGCGAGAGGTGAGTTTCCTCACCATACCAATGGGTCTAAGGCACCAAGGCCGACCCATTAATTGTTATGTGAAATGCTAGTTGGTTATGCGATATGTGGTATGCTAGTTGTATTGTAGTACTTGCATGAAAGACCTCGGGGGGGTTGCCGAGGCACTTGGGTGTAAGACCTTGGAGGGTTTCCATGACACCCTTAGTAAAGACCTCTGAGGGTTCCCGAGGCACTTGGGTGTAAGACCTTGGAGGGTTTCCATGACATCCTTAGTAAAGACCTCTGAGGGTTCCCGAGGCACTTGGGTGTAAGACCTTGGAGGGTTTTCAGGGCATCCTGATATGTTTGCATGTTTGGTTTATATGGTAGTGGGCTAAGACCATGTGGGGGTTCCTATGGCACCCGGAGTAAGACCCTGGAGGGTTTCTAGGGCATCCCTATATGTTGTATGCATGGCTGTTGTGGTATATGTAGCTTTTATAGCTAATATGATTATGTGTTTATGTGGATTGTGTGGGGTATGCTCGGGGAACTCACTGCATTAGCTTACAGTTTATAGATTTGTTTCAGTTACATCTGAGCCTAAGGGCAAGGGCAAGGCTTGATGACGCGACATGCACACTCTCTCAGGCATTTTATGGGACACTCTGATGATTTGAAATAATATTGTTATTGTAATGAATTTGAAAACAATTGTATTTGCGATTTTATGGTTTATGGAAAGTGTTTTGGCTATTTAAAAACGAAAATTTTCTTTTGAAATTTGGTCGTTACAAGAAGAGCTTGAGATGATTGCAGAGCACACACCACTCCATTCCGCATTTTGTGATTTACTCTGATATTGAAGATGTATCGATACATTTTGATAACTTTGGTTTTATGACAATGATATGGTTTGTTGTTTTATTAATCTAAAAATAAAAAAATCTATGGTCTTATTTTTTGGGACGTTACATATGTCGACATGTAATCCTTGTCATACCCTAGCCGATTCCCAAGAAAAACTGGATATTTCTGGTCCTCTAGTGTTAGATCCTACCTTATATCGCAACATTGCAAGTGCCTTACAATATCTCACATTTACATGTCCATGCATCTCCTTTGCGGTCCAACATATATGCATATATATGCATGACCCCAGGAAACCTCATCTTCACGCGTTAAAACGTATCTTGCAATACATTCGAGGTACTATTGACTATGGATTGTAGATTCATGCTTCTTCTACTATGATCCTCATTGCTTACTTTGACGCTAACTGGGGGATACCCAGTCTCTCATCGATCGACTAGTAATTACTATATCTACCTCGGTGCCAATCTTATTTCCTGATCGTCTAAACGCCAGCCTACCGTATCGCGCTCTAGTACCTACGCAAAATACAAAGGCATCACCAACGCTGTTGCGGAGACATATTAGCTTCACAACTTGCTTCGAGAACTTCATTGTCCATTAGCGAAGGCCACCACTTTGTATTGTGATAATGTCGACATCGTCTATCTTTACACCAATCTCGTTCAACATCAACGTACCAAACATATTGAGATTGACATTCACTTTGTTCGAGACAAAGTAGCCACTGGACAAATTCGTGTGCTTCATGTCCCTTCATCTTATCAATTTGCTGACATCTTCACGAAAGACTTCCATTGCATTCTTTTCAAAATTTCGATCCAGCTTGAGCGTCCACGATCGCTCTCCCCTTCAAACTACAGGGGCGTATTAGTGTTTGTTATGTACAACCCGCTTATGTATCATCCGGTGTTAGGCCCGTGTTTTATTGTACTATATAAGTATGTATCATTGTTAATGAAACCATTCCAATTCATGGAAAAATAGTTACCGTATTACATATACATGTCAAATCATTAACTGTTTATTTAATTTTTTTAATAGAAATTTGACTACAAAGAAAGACATTTTTGTTAAATCATGTGTATTATCAAACATAATTTATTCATATGATTGCTATACATATTTTTACTCCCTTTTTAACATATTACTAATTTAATTATATTCCCAAAAAAAAAAAAAAAACATAATATTTACGGCCATACGGATGGGAGTTTGCTACAATGACTTTACATAATTTATATATGAGATTGAATTTTACTCGTATATTATTCAATAAAATTACCTAAATTTTATAACAAGAATATAAATATGATTCTACGTGTTACGTAAATACATATTCTTGCTTCTTATCTATCTTTTAAAGCACGTTTTCATGTCCATACAAACGAACACCTTATTTTCGCATGTCTTTTATGTTAAAAGTGACAAAAGTTGTTCATATGTAGCAAAAATAATTACAAGTAGTCTAAAGTTCCTAAAAATACGATGTAAATTTGCATTTTGAAAAACTTTACTTTAGTTTTAAGTAAATAAAAACATTTTACTTCATAAAACATGTACAACATTTAAATTAGCTTAAAGATATATTTAGTAGCAACAAACTAATAAAAGCTATAATTATAATTCTCTTTAAATTAGCATTTTCCCATCATTTTGCAAAAAATTGCCAAAAATTAACCATTAGTTAAAAATAGTCATTGAAATCGCAAACAAAGTTAACTCGCCTGTTGTTTTGTGTTTCGTCTGTTGTTTGGTAGTTATTTTATCGAGCATGTCTGCTGTTTTGTGGCTTATCAACACATAATATATAAACTTAAATAAAAAAATTAGATCATTTGTTGATATCTGAAATACAGAATTTTCTCTTATGGAAGCTCCCAACAACAATCAGTCTAGTAGTATTATATATAGTTTTTTTTTTCGCTATCATGTAGCATGAAATCTAGCAGTTGTGGGTTTTGTTTTTTTTTTCGATAAAATCGAAAGAAAGAAGAAAAAAAAACGCAGATGACATTGTTATCTATGGTGTACAAGACGTTGATGCACATAATGTGCACTAAAGACTTGTACATTGCAGATGACATGTCATATGAGGTATTGTTCTTTTTTTTCCAGTTTTTCCGGTTTAGTTTCAGGTTTGAACATTGTTATGTGTTATGCCTTGATAATGTTTAGTAGTCAAAATGTACGAAACCATAGTCAACATGAAAAAAGGATGAACGAAATAGCAGTTGAGACGAGAGGGAACCTAGGAAGGCCTAAGCTATATGCGGTTTTGTGGGAAAAAATGAAGAAAAAATTTATAGACTACGTTGAAACAGCAGACGAGGTACGGAATAGCAGACGAATAAATCCCGTCTGGTTTCAATGGCTAGCTAATGGTTAAGTTTTAGTTATTTTTGACAAAATTAAATGATTAAGAAAAAAAGACAAGATTTGTAATTTTCTCTTGTCTTTAACCTTTGTTGTATGTATATGCAAACAAGCAAAACAATCACATATGCATAACAAGAAAGATGTACAATCTTTTCACAAAAAAAAAAAAGGTTTTAAATACGTATGTACATTTACACACGGCTCCTTCCATTATATCCGTATACCATAAAAGAGCTTAAAATGATACTATTTATCAACAACTTTGTAATATAATTAATTGTTTAAATACTTGTTTTTTTGAAAATAAAAATTTGGAAAACTATGTTTTATTTCGTAACACAAAAGTAAAGGAAAAGATGAAGGTAGTGGATGACACATGCAAAACATTCACGTACCTAAACTTTATAAGACATTTTGGCTTCTAACATGATATCATTAATGGATGACATACCACAATGCAATTTGATCCTTGTTTCCTAACCCTTCTATATATACCTCTACAAGCATTATTTCCCAACATTAATATCTCCAAACACTCTCATTTTTAGCAACCTGAGAGATTTGGAGGATAAAAAGGAAGAACTTAAACTAAAAACAAACTGATCAAAGGAAGACGATGGAGATGCCGAAGGGTTGGTTTTGGAGTGTTTGCAAGCGAGGAAGGCCATATATTGGGGTTCTTTTTCTACAACTAGGATACGCTATTAACAATCTTATAGTGAAGTCTGCTTTAAACGAGGGCTTAAATCCTTACACATTCTCTGTTTATCGAAATATTGCTGCAGCAGTTGCTTTTGGCCCATTTGCTCTATATTTTGAAAGGTATGTTTGTGCCACCCTAAATTATAATACATGTTTTAAATACTATTTCCTCGTTTGTTGTACAAAAGCATCTACAATGCAACCCATTTAAAGCTTTTTTGTAACATCTTTTTAGTAACTTATTTTAAAAGATATTTATCCTTATATATAAACACTCTTTAATCATTAACCTTTGTTTAATAGTTTTCTTTTTTCAAATTAGTTAACTTATTATCATATGTATGAAATGCATATATATAAAGGTTCATATCTAATATTTCGTTTTTAAGCATACCTATATAGTAATACAAACAAAAGATACATAGCCGTTCTAAAAAAAATACAAACAAAAGACAATACAAAATTATTATATAAAGGCCTTACATATATAATCATTACTGTCTTTAGGATTTGATATTGTTGTTATTTTATTTTTTTCAAAAAAATTAAGTATTAATGATATGTTGGTATATAAATAATATTAATTTTGTATATTTAATAAAATAAATTAATTAGTAAAAGATGATAAATATATACCATCTTAACACACTTAGAGGGTAACATAATATATTATTTAAATTAAAGGGAACAAAAGCTAGTTGAAGTAACCTCTAAAAAAATCACAAGTTTTCAAAGGTAAAAGGTATTATAATGGTTTTTCAAACTACGAAAAAGTGTTCCAAAAAGTTATTGATAATATACATACACAATACCTAATATATTATGTTTATATTACAGGAAAATACGTTCTCAGATGACATTTTCTGTATTTTGGAAGATATCCTTGTTGGCGCTAATTGAGTACGTATCAGGCTACAATAACACGTTTGACTCAAAAGGTCAAAATGTGTTTAATGAATATTTCTAATAAAATTATTTTAATCAACACCAGGCCAGTTTTGGACCAAATACTATACTACACCGGGATGAAGTACACAACAGCAACATTTGCAATCGCAATGTGCAATGTTCTCCCTGCTTTGACTTTTGTAATGGCGTGGATCTTTAGGTACTACTTCATTTGCATAATGTACAATTTCAGTTAGCATTACTAGTGTCAAGTGTGTGAGTGTATTTTTTGACTTGTCTTTGTAGACTTGAGAAGGTCAACGTGAAGAAATTGCATAGTCAAGGGAAGATCCTTGGAACCCTGATTACAGTAGGTGGAGCCATGGTCATGACACTTGTTAACGGACCACTGGTTCCATTGCCATGGACCAAGGGAACCGGGGTGCACCAGGTTGTAGCTTCCACCGCCTTGGTCTCGCAAGACCAACATATTAAGGGTGCCATCATGATCACTGCTGGTTGTTTTTGTTGGGCCAGTTTTTATATTCTTCAGGTTAATTAATAATTACTTTCTATATTTTTTTCCCTTTCATTTTCAGTCTTTATTTTCTATAATCACAAAAGAAACCGAAATTGTAGGGTCCATTTCACAAATTGATTAGTTTTCACACTCATTCACTCAAATAACCATTAATTACGTAAGTTATGAAATTATTTTATGAATAGTTTTTACTACAAAAACAAATGATATCAGCATTTTGCAACATATGATGTCATTTCACAAAATATGATGTTATTTTAGAAAAAAAAAATGTATTTTAAGGTTTTCTTTTTTCAGAAAACTCTTCTTTTGTTAATAAAAGCAATTCTTACACTCAAAAAGATTTCTAAAACAACAATGGCTGGAGAATTCAGACGACACCCACTTTTCTCTAAAATGAGAGAACGTAGAAAAATTTATCAAAAAGCCGATTTTTCTCTAAAATAGAGAATGTAGCAAATTTTATACAAAAGCTTATTTTAATCTTTCAGGCTATGACTCTTAAGGAATACCCGGCTCAATTATCCCTTACGACACTTATATGTATGATGGGTGCTCTACAAGGAACTGTTGTAACTTTGCTTATCGAGAATGGTAAATCTGGCATTTGGTCTATGCACAAGAGAACAGAAATTATTGCTACTCTTTATAGTGTAAGAAACCTTAATTTTGGCATTCTTCTTCTTGTGTTTCTTTTAAGTTTTCTCTAATTTTTATATAAATGATATGAACAGGGAATAATCCGATCTGGGGCTAGCTACTATGTTTCGGGGCTAGTGATGAAGGAAAAAGGACCATTTTTTGTGACGGCTTTCAACCCTTTAGGGATGGTGATTGTTGCAATTGTGAGCTCATTTGCTTTAGCTGAGCGGTTGTTACTCGGAAGGTACAGATAAATCTTTCCTATTATTAGGGAATAATATATCACAAATATGAACCGTCTACAACGAAGTATTTAATAAATTGATTATCTTTTTGACAATAAAACAAATCGCCAATAATTTCGAAAACTTAGTAGCAAAATCTAAAAATTATGATATTTCCATTTATTCCAAAAGACTGCAAAACCATTAAAAGAAAATTTTTTATGGACAATTCCACAATTTATGAACAATTACTTAAGTATAGAAAAATTTCACAATTATAATTTCCAAATATGATTTTCTTTTTCAAAATTGTAAAGAGTGGACAATCAAGAAAAAATTCCGAAATTCTTAACCATGCAATTACCAAATTAGTGATAATTTTGTATTAATGGTATAGAAGAAACTGGTACAATTTGTTAAATATGATATTATAAAATAGTTATTTTTTTTAATTATTCTTATATTTTTTTTATTTAGAGTAAATTTCATAATTTGCAATTTGGTTATAAAATCTTTTTCTATAAAACTCTGGACCGTGGTTCGTGTTTACAAGTAATTTTGATATTAAAAACTAGTACATTTTTACAAATTTGTTTCAAAGACATGATTATTTTACTTAGGACGTGGACCAAAAACGTGAAAATAAAAAATAAAACATCAATAAGATTTGGCATTGGAAAAAGAAAACTTTTTGTAGCCAAAAATTAAAAAATCCGGAGATAAAAAGTAATTTTCTATTTTATTCATCTAAATTTACCATAACTTGTAATGATTTCAGGGTTGTGGGAGCCTTCATCATTGTTCTAGGTTTGTACTTGATCATATGGGGTAAGAGTAAGGACTCGAGTTTGTCAAGTTCAAAAAACAACGACGTAGATATGTTTGATAAAGAGACATCTAATGATAAAAATCAAGATAGTACAATTGTTTCAAAAGAAGGTCATAAAGGAGAAGCTAATGTTTAATTCATCATCCAAAAGATAAAGAAATTTATTTAGAATCTTGAGGGTTTTTCCTAATTCAAACATTGGTGGAGATTGATGGCTATCTCCCCCATGCACAACGCCTGTTTAGCTTTTCTTAAACACATTGCAGGGGAGATGCAATTGTTGGATATATGCTCGACCTCATTGCCGCATGACACAAGAATATTAGGGTTATAGACCATCAACTACTTTGTTGTTTGTTTTGACATTATAACTACTTATGGGATAGATTTAATCAAAATAATTTTTATTATAAATGTGGAACTTAGGTGAAGTATACTTCTTATTATGTAATTCTGTATACTTTTCATTATAATCATGTAAATTATGTTATTTCAAAGAATTTAGGCCAAAATAATAAATTTGATTCTAGATTTCTCAAAAGAATTGGTTCAAGGTTTTTCAATTTGGGTTGAGTTTTCTATTTACCCTGATCACATGGCATCACAAGGAAAGAGCCAACCGAAAGAACGACAATAACACAGATAGGTAGTCAACGAAGTAACACGGATAGGTGGTCAACGAAGTCGTGAAGTCCGATTTATGGTTTTGATATATTCTTTTATTAGTTTAGGGGGAAAAGATTTTGAAAAGACGTTGAAAATGAAATAAAGGGTAAAAAGGGTTTTATTTTTTATTTATTTATTTTTACAATTTGAGGGTTTTTTTGGTTTGGAACTTGTATTTATTTCACAAGCACAGCAAATTTGATCAATTAAGCAGATTGAAGAATATATATTAATTCATATAATATACACGGTCAGGCCTGTTTTAGAAAGATTGATTTTTCTCTCCAAAATGTATACCTCATTTTCAAGTTCTTAAAGGGCTGGCTAGGCCAAACTAGCCAAATGGCTTTGGTTTGACTTACTAATAATCAAATGAGCAAATAACCTAAATTGGTTATCAAAATTTCACATTTTCTATAATAATGATTTCATTAAGGAGTTTATAAATACAACAAATCTTTTTCTTAAAAAACAGAACAAATCTTTAGTTAACTACCTTTCGGTTTGTTGAACAAAAGGTTCGTTTTGGGCCATGTTACTTTGAAGAGTGGGGTTGCTTACCGTTCAAGGTCGAAAGCCCAAGTCCCCTAAAAATCTAAATTTCATGAATATGCCGTTTAAATTCATCTCCAACGAATATTTTAAATTTGTAGAAATAAATAATAACATCCTAAATTTAAGACATGGCCCTAACCCAGCTCTTATAATATTCTCATCTACACGTCCACCCATACACCGAAAGCTACAAGACTACAACGTTCATCATGTTGCAATAATCAAGTTGAGCAAGGAGACTATAGTGGCGGCATTGAGTCGAATTTTTAAAACCATATTCACTTGAAACTCCAAACTCTTCATAGTATCATACTTAAATGATTATTTAATATTTTCCCTATATAAAAAACATTTGATGATTTCTCTTTTCATTTTGTTTTATCTTCTCTTTTCAGTTTCGTTATCTAGAGTGCATGAGAGTGCAGAAGTTTTAATAGGTTTGTTTTATTCTTTTCATATTATTTTTCTTATATTTTCTTCAAATTCCATAAGAAGTTTGTGTAATCGTCTATATTTTCTCATAATAGACATATCATTGAATACCCTAAAATATATATATATATATATATATATAGGCCTAGGTTATTCTATTCAAAGTAATTATTGTGTTATTGTATGCATAAATGTGGGACAATCATTTTACTTATTTTAAGAAAGTGATTAATACATATTATTTAATTAAATATAATTGAAAAATATCATCTAATTTAATTAGAAGGGTATTTTAGTCAGTTAACATAGATTTAATAAAGGAAATTTGCATATTTTTAAAGGATCAAAGATTCTATTAATTTTAAAAATCCGATTTTACAAATTATAAGGTTTTTAGTTCGGACATTCTGACAGAATATGCTTGAGTATGTTCAAAAATAACAAAATTTTTTGTAGAATAACAAGATTCTCGAACCATCAATTGAAGAATTAAAACAAAAATTACATTAATTCTTACAGAATACATGTAACAATTGCTAAGAATTACATTTATTTTTAAAGAATAAAACTAGAAAAAACTTTCAAATCTGGAAAAAAGAACATCAAAATCTAATAAAAACACTAATACATTCAAATTTTGTGGTCCGTTCTTCAAGCATCAGCTTCTGTAGAAACAAATACAATGAATATATTAGTGAGAAAATATCCATACTCCATTCCAACATAATTGGAATTCGTGATTCTATTCTGATAGGATTGGAATTCATTTACCAATAATTATATTAATTCGGGGAATTCTAACAGAATATGTTCATGATTATCATAAAAAACATTCTTTTCTGATAGAATGCTATAAACGAAGAAATACCATTCAGTTGAAGCATTTTAGCGAGCACTTGGTGTGCATGAAAACAACTTTCAATTCAGTTGAAGCATTCATCTGTCAAATAAGCAACCAAAACAACCATGATTTGTGTTCAACCAATCAAACCCAAAAACTCATCTAAACCTATCGATTAAACTTCATCGATTTACAGTAAATCAATCAAAATAAGAAAGAATATTAAAGAAACCTGTGATTATCCAGCCAACAACAACCCTTTGTTTCTTCTTCTGCTTGCCCATTGATTTCACAGCCTCAATCCAAACACCCATCTGATTTCGGTTCTTCTTCCCTGCCTCCACCGAACCATTGATGCATTTTGTCGAATGTTTTATGTGTGTGGTTATACCTGAGAAAGCTGGATTGGAAAATTGGGTTTATCATCAGTGGTTTATGTGAGTTTTGAATTATCATTCGAAATCAATTGCAGATCCAAATCAATTACGAGTCAATTTCAACTACGGAAAGTTTCATCAACGAGATCAATTATATGTAACATTGATAATTTGAAAAAAGAAAAGTACCAGGAGCCAATTTTCGATTTGGCTTTGACGCTCCTTTGCCGATAAAACGAAAAGATAAACCCTAACCTGTCCTTTAACTTTCGAATTGATATCAGTATTGGTTTCTGGTCGGATTCTTGTCTTCCTCGTTTGTCATTCCCTTTTGTTTTGATCGAAGAGGGTAGCTGCGGTATCGTCGGCAACGATGACTATGAGGAAGGAAGTGAGTAGTCATGGTGGTCGTATGCTATGAAGATGATGGTGTGGTTATCGGCGATGAAGATGATGGTGGTGCTCAGCAACCGGAAAAACAGGAATATGGTGGTGGTCATCTGGTAAATTGTGTGGGTCGATGTTTCTATACGGTGGAATCGGTGGAACGAGGGGTTTGTTCAATTTAGGGTTTTCAGAATCGGTTTTTAGATAAAGAGGGGAACGAGATTTAAACTGGAGAGATACCATGATTATAGGGATTATTTTTGGAAGTTATTAAACAAATGACTAACTTACCCTTATTTATTTATTTTATTATTTAATTTTTTATTTAATTTTGATTGGCCCACATTGATGCATACAATAACACAATACTTAGTTAAAACACCTGAACCTATATATATATATATATATATATATATATATATTATATATATATATATATATATATATATATATATATATATATATATAGATACATAGATAGATAGATACATGATAAATCAGAAAAGGGCCAAACATATGAGCGGGAATATGAATAATAATACAAATACACAGTACAAATAATACTCTAACAGCCCCTTGCAGTTTGAATGGGGTTATGATCACGAACGCTCAAACTGAATCGGAAATCAAGAAACAGAGGAGATGGCAGGCTCTTTATAAAAATATATGCATATTGTGAATAAGACGGTACATGGAGTATGCGAATATGACCGGTAACGACTTTGTCTCGAACAAAATGCAGATCAATCTCGATATGCTTGGTGCGTTGGTGATGAACCGGATTAGATGACATGTAAACATCACTAACATTATCATAATAAACGGTGGTAGCCTTGGCAGGCATATAATGAAGCTCGAGAAGCAAGTTGCGAATCCAACATGTTTCAGTAACCGCATTGGCAACACCCATGTATTATGTAAAAGCCCAAAAACCAGGAGAAAATTTTTCATTTTTAATTAAGGTTTACAATCATAAGTTTGATTCCAAAATCCATTACATAATCATCATCATATCAAATCATCAGAGTGACAATAACAATAAATGCGAAAAATGGTGGGGAGTGAATGTTGCGCCATAAAGCTGAGCCCTTCCCCTTAGTACCGGAAGTACCTGAAACCACAATACGAACTGTAAGCAAAAGCTTAGTGAGTTTACCCAAAAATACCACATACCAAACATACAATTGGGCCAAGCCCTGGGTATATTCCAACCCAAAAAGCAAGTATGGGCCCTACCCTGGGGCCTCGCCCTCGGGTATATTTCAACTCAGTCGTATGATAGTGGGCCCCGCCCTGGGGTATATTTCAACCCGAATATACCATAATGGGCCTCGCCCTGGGGTATATTTCAACCCGACATGCCATATTGGGCCCCGCCCTGGGGTATATTTCAACCCGATCGTGTAAATACAATATATATCACACAAAAACTAGCATAATACATAACCGGATAGTGGGCCGACCTTAGTACCTTTGACCCATGGATACAGGAAGGAGACTCACCTCAGTCTGCTGATAAATACTAAGTGCTCGGCTACTGATCCGGGAAATCCCACACTGAACATAGACAAATTACCCTAAATAGGAATGGGTTAACAATCAAGACTAGGGGCCTAAATTCAAATCCAATTCTTAAGGTCAACCCCCCCCCCCCTTAACCTTACCCTTAATGGGCTTAATCATTCCTGGCCCAAAAACACAACAATAGGCCCTAAGGCCCAAATGCCAAACTCATAACACTTAAGGCCCACAACAAAAATCCAAAAACACCATTAGCCCAAAACAATATTCTGGTGGCCCAAAATAAAGCCCTAAACTACTAGGTTCCAAGATGAAGCCCAATACCGAAAGGCCCAAACATCCGCAGCGCATTTCTGAGTACGTGGGGCGTACTCAGCTTGTACGCTAAGCGTACACGCTTAAGGGCTTGTACGCCCAGCGTACTCCCCCTGTTTGGCCAACTTCACTTTAGCTCTTAATCGATTAAGTCATTAGCCCAAAACTCAGATCTAACCTCCTTGAGGTGGTTTATCACGTAAACTTGCCAACTTTACGTGCATGCATGGCTTAATGAGG